CACGAGACAAATAGAAAGGCTCCAAGTATGACAAAATGAAAGAACTAGGTGGAGAATCACGGACCATGAAATCCCAATGTAAAAGGACCGAAAGCGAAACCTCTCTTGTTTATACTCTAATGACCTTATACGTGTCATAATCATTTCCCTAACTTTCCAAATAATACCAAGTAGCCCAAGCCATTAGTACACTTTTCCCCACACGAAACTTCCTCTCTAATATCTATCTATACGTGTTTTAGTTTGCTGCTATCGTGTGAAGAGAGAAGGAATTGTCGAAATGGATAATGCCACCGAATTATTCCTATGCTTTTTACACGTTTGTTGATGGATCTCTTCTGGACTTTCTTTATCAGAGATTCAAAAAATTATTGTAAACTGTGGAAAATATTTAACTTGTCTTTTAACGGACGGATAATGATATGATAGCATATTCTTAATCAATCCAGAGGAGAAAAAAAAGTGCAATTTCTATTTTCCACGTACAGAAAGCATTTACATTTATTTTATTCCAAATGATGAGCTAGCTAAAGAGTTCCAACATATGAGCTTTCAATACAATACTCTCTCTTGCCCCCATTCAACCAATTTTTTTATCCAACAAATACTTTATCAATCAAACATACTTTTGTTGTATCAACTTAATAATCATCAACACTTAAATAAAACAGCTGAAAACTGCTACGGGAACAACATTGTCTTGGTTTTAATATTGGCTACCTAATTATTATGTGGCTAAATATTGCTTGAACGTGACCCACATCTTCGTCTTCGTGTCAATCTCTGGATTTATATGTCTATCATGTTTTTAGCAAAAGAAAATATAAATGGGAGAAAAAGTCTGAGGCACATTTATTTCAATGACAAAGAAATGTATAAAAGTATTGTGTATGTAGTCGCGTTAAATTGGTCAACTATTCTGTTTTTTGAAGTATCTTCAACGTAGCAAAGAGATTAGTCATCATTATCGATTGTGAATACTTTAGAGATAAATAAAAAAAAATGAATGAATAACCGCGGTTTTACAACATATGCCAATTAATATCCATATATATTATATTTATGAATGGACTACTCATTCTTTTTTACAATTATATATCATATATATTTCATTTAAGATATATAATTTATATTAAAAAAAATATTTTTAATTATTAATAACTTATTTTTACATATTAAATTTTAATTCAAAAATAAATGATAAATTAAAATTGAATTAAATAATAAGTGATTTTAAAGTCTGTCTTTGAGTTACAGAGGATTGACCTCGTGCTCATAGGTTTGATTTTTTTTTTACTCCAACCGACCAAGCCCCTACCTCAATGCATTCATTTATGATAGGTTATGTTAACTTGTGGTATATCCAAAACCATAAAAATAAATAAATAAATAAAAATCATACTTACTTTTTTATATATATAAAAAACAACGGGATTTTCATTTTTTAAAAATTAAATATTATTTTCTTTAAAAAAAATTATTTTTATGTATCATTACTATAGTTAACCGCATATTTTAATGTGCAGGATAATTGAGTTCAAATGTTCAATTGATAAAACAAATGAAATTAAGGACAATCATAATTAATGATAATAATCATTTAAATGACATTATTTTGAATGAGAATGAAGATAATAAACTACGGTGTATATGTAATGAAACCTTAATTATGTTATTATGAGCATGGTGTGTGTTCTATATTTTTTTTTATTGGATCTAATACTGTTGTGATACGATGCCTTTTTATATATGATTTTCCAGTAACCTTCAAAATTTTGTTTTGTTATGTGAAGTAAATTAACTTAAATATGTGTGTAAATATATTTTAAACTTTGGCGAATATTTTTGTGTATCATTTTATTTTTTAATAAATATAATTCTTTTAATTATTACTACCACAACTTCCACAATTTTTTTTTGGTAAAATTTACATTTTTCTCGTTTATCTCTTTCATTATTTCTCACCTACTAAACAAATTTTCTTTTCTTGTCTGTTTATTCTCCATTCTTTGTTTTCCTACCATTTTTATGCAATCAACCGAATCAGTAGTTTACATTATTTTGTAATCTTGTATTAATAACTGCAACCGTTTGTCATGGCAATCGAGTCCATCAGTATCATTCATACATAATCATACATTGAATGATGAAACTCCAATAAAGTTCAACATAATGTGATACGAATCTACAAAAGTATGTGCTTTGCAATCAGAAAACAACTGGTTTAGTAGTCGTAATAATGGTTAATACAAATTAATTAAGTAATAAAAATTCAGTTGTTAGGTGCAATCCACACTTGATAAATATTTTAAATTAGTCATGTTTTTACTTTTAATATAATATTAATACTTTTAAAGATATTTTTGATATATTTTTCAACTAACATAATTAAAAATAAAGTATTTATTGAAATAATTGAGTTATTTTTATAAAATTATATTCAAAAGAAATATATTTATTATTATTTTTATTTTATATATATATATATATATATAAATCACAAACCTTTTGAGATGGAAAAAGTACTATCAATAATTAAATAATTAGTCTCTCTTTTCTTCTAATCTTATTTGAAATTTAAAATTTTGGTTCAAAAATTATAATTAATATTATAAGTTTATAATAATTATGATATTAAATATTATTTATCTTTTATATTAATCAAATTATTTGTCTCTCATATACGCATACACGTATATACACACATGCATACACACAAACACATAATATTTAATGATATAATAAGGATATATTTAGTTTTATTATTATTTAAAAATAATTAAGATTAAATGAGAGGTTTTTCTTTTAATAAAACACCAAATAAAATGAAATGAAAAAACAAGTAATATCACACGTCTTAACGAATTTAATTTTAGACATTCAGTCAAACCGGCAAAAATCCTTTATCCTTAATTTCTGAATCTATATACTTTATATACTCCTCTTACGGTCCTACTGTATTATAATAAGTGAAGCTACATACTTTATATACTCCTCCTATATATTATAATAAGTATTATATAATTTTTAAAAATTAGTATATTTTAATTTTTAAATATAATATTTTTATTTATAGTTCTAGTAGTATTTTTATAAATTATTATTTTATTATATTATTTTTAATAGAAGTATTATTAAAATTTTAATTTTATAATTTTGTATTATCTATATAAAATAATTTACAACGTTTATTATGAATAAAATGTATTTTTAAGTATCATGATGTTTTAAAATAACAATGAATTCTTTTTCTAGAGATAAGACTCGTGGAACGCACTAATAATATAAATAAAATGATTTTTTTAATCTGTAAATAAATAAATAAATAAATAGTAATAATAATAATAACATGAACTTATTATCGAATAAAAAAAACAAAAATTATATTCTTTTAATAATATGAGTATTAATTCTATATTTGTAAAAGCTAAAATAAAATTAAAAGTGAACTATAAATGGTTAAGAAACAATAAAGTTGACATTGTATCTGGACGTGGTTTGCACATTAATACGTTCTCCACTCAATTTGAAATGTTTATTCCTCTTCATTGTCTTCAAGTGGAATGAGTACATATATATATATATATATATTTTTTGTTATTTTAACTAAAGTTGTTTGGACAATTTCCAAGAGTCCTAAAAATATTATTTTATTTTTATAACGATTAAGCGATGAAAAAAAGTATACCTCTATAAAAAAATCACAATTTCATTTAATTATATATTTTGGTGTATAATAAGATTATTAAATAATAACATATTTTTTTAAGAAAAAAAAATAGTCTATTAATTAAGAAGATAAAAGATTTTTTATGAGTTTATATAATTATTAATATTGGCCTTGTGGTTTGAAAAGATAAAAACTTTGTTCAATTTTTATTATAATAGTCATAATTTTTTTATTAATAAAAAAATAAAGATTTTTTATTATGACAAAAGACCCATCATAGATAGCAAACAAATAATTAATTGTTAAGGATGTGTTTGGAGAGCCAAATTCAGTTCTCAAATTTTTTCTTTTGTCCTCACGTTATTATTTTATCAAGACTTTAATATTGTTGTCATAGAGGAAAAAGCGACAACTAATTATTTATGTCGATCCTTTTCCTTCCTATCAAATCATAATTAAAACTCATGTTATCACATTGTACTATAAATTAACATCACTCCTTTTTTATTTTTGATGCTGACCTACTCATAATTAAAATTCGTGTTACGAAAGTGAATTTTAACCATATTTCAGTGACAGAACCCATAAAAACAAAAACAAGTCATGAAGTTCATTAGGATGAAATTATTATAAACAAACATCTCCTTCATCTTTTTTAATCTTTTTTCAGCAGCCTTCTCAAATTGTTCAAAGATTTCATTAAAATGACCAACCATTTAACGTATGCAGACCTTGACCATTGAAGTTTGAACTTGAAAAATGAAAACTTTCCTTGAATTTATCTTTACACGAGTAAAAAAAAAAAAAAAAAAGTAGGTGCAGTTCCCACACCATTAAACATAACATTGCACGCAGAAGCAATAAATCAATAAATCAACCAAGCGAACAAGCCTTCTAATAGATAATTTCCACAACCAAAATTAAATCACAAGAAAGCGTGTATGAAAATCAATAAATCAAATAAATTTATTTCATTTCTAATCTCCAAATTAAAATGTTCCTTGTTACAACCACCGAGTCTCCAAAAAAAGTCCTCAAATTCTTTCAGAATATGAGGTAATCACAATTAACTATAACTAATTAATCAATTAATTAATAATAATTCTTGGTTTCAATCCCCTTCAACGGGAAAGAATGAAATAAAGTGTGGTCAAGCTTCCAGAAAACCAGTCAACCTGAGGATCGAATTCCTGACCTGACTCAAATCTCGCCCCTTCAATGTCCGCCCATTTCCAGTGCACACGGAGAACGCCATTTTTCCAGCCACGCGCCGCCGCACGATCTCGTGCGGTGGCGTCATCTCCTCTTCCTCCGCATCTTCCTCACCGGAATTCCACCGCTGCGCCTTCTCCGGTATACTAACTGGCCGCGAACTTGCCGCCCTCTTCTCCTTCCGAGGTGGTGCGGCCTGGCGAATGACTACAGCGTGGTGCTGGTCAGGGAAGACAACCTCGGACTCCGTGAACTCTTGGGCCATTTGGTTTTGTTTTGAATATTGTTGTGTTTGTTTGGGTTTGGGAATGAAACAGTGGAAGTTTGGGGGGTTTTTATAAGAACAGGAAAGGGATCGCGAGGCGTAGGTAGTACACTTGGATTGGTTTGTGTTGTCAGATGGCGTCATTCTTCATTTAGTATTTACTGCACTCCCTCTTTTCCTTTCTTTACTTTCTTTTCTTTTTCCCAAAATAAATAACCTCCTAAGGACTCCACTTTTGCCTTTTTATATGATTTTAAGTATATGTTATTGGCGCAAATTTTCCACAACTTTGTTTAATAATTAATACACGACATTAATATTATTCATAAAAAAACTAATACATGTCATGTTAAAAGATTTTGTTAATCATTTTTAAGAAATTCTCTTATCTTAATCAAGTTGTTTTTATTTTACTATAAATACTTTTGGTCCATTGATAAATACTATACACTCATGGTATTAGTTTGTTATTGATTTTTTTTACATGATGGGTATTGAAATTAGATTTTTCGTTAAATATATTATTCTCATAATATGTAAACTATTTTTTAATGTAAAATAAAATAAAGACTTACATGTTTAAAATATAATTATCGACTTATTTAAAAATTAAATTTATTAACATATTTTAATGCAAAATAGATTAATAATAAATCTTATCAAATTTTTAAAAATATCCGATGATAATTTTATAATAATAATTTTAGTTTTATAAAATAGATTTAACATGAACTTTAATTTCTCATAATCTATTCTTATTCCTATTAATAAGTCATTAAATATGACTTGGATCATATTCTAAAGAAATGCTTTTTATCAGATCCAAATAGATTAGATGGTTGGATTGAAACAAGAAAAGTCATTTAATTGTAGTTATTGCGAAGCTGATATAAAAAAATCATTTAATTGATAGTTAAAATTAACCTTTTATAAATATAAAAATCATTAAAATAATTTTTTATTTATTTTATTTTTTTATACATACTATTTTTTTAATAGGTCAGAGTGTTTAAAATACTAAATATATTAGATTTTATTGATTTGATATGTGTTTCGCTTATCCAATGAAAATGAGATGTTGATTGTTTTTCTTATTCTTAATATTACACTTCCTTTTTCTTGTAATTAACATATAGCTTCTCTCTCTAGTTAACCGCAATTTAAAATTGAAACCACTGGCGTTATCTTACATATGGCTTGCTTGCGGCTTGAATTCGAGTTTCGTGTCTCTACGTCTTCTATTTTAGTTAATTATTTTTATCCTATTCTTTAACCATTTACATTATTGAGGTTCAATGTTTATCCAAAAATAATTAAAGACGGTTAAAACTTGTAATTGGTCAACTAATTAACTTTTCTTAATTAAGTCAAAAATTTAGCGTTATTTAAATGTTAAGCACATGATTTTAATGATTGAATAAAAGTTATGAATGAGGACGTTTTACTTTTCGATAATGAATTATATTTTCTTTTACTATTATAATTATTATTATGGATAGATGTTAAGAATAGTACTTGCACTTTTTTTTAGAAGAAAAGAATGAAGGAGAATAGATAAAAATTAATTTGATATAAAATAAATAAAAAATAGTATAAATTTTATAATTATTAATAAAATATAATTTCATTAATTAATTATTTATATTTTTTTTACACAAATTTACTCTTAAAAATTTCACATAAATTTTATTATAATTTTCTCACAAATTCATTTAAATCATCTTTCTTAAATATATATTTTTTAATTTCTTAATAATCTTTTTTTTTATTTTCTACTAAATTATCTATTCAAATATCGTTCATAATTATAAATGAATTAATTAATGAAGATGAAGCAGATGAATAATTTACTCACGTAAGTGTGATACTAGTACTCTTCGTCCTTATCTAAACGGCAGGCTCTAGATTTTTAACATTGGGGTCAAACAATAATAAGTCCAAGGTACTGTACAATAAATTGTTCAAACAATCATCATAATAATAATTATTATAACTATTATTATTAAATAAATTATATCTCACATTGTACCACTCTATATTCAGGTGGAATTAAATTTTTTGTACTAAATTAAGAAATATTTCAAATCTTTTAAGTTAAGGTTACAATATTTTATTTTTATTTTTATTTTTATAATTTTATTTATTTTACCTTTTAATATGTATCATTTAATATTTTTAGTTCTTACACTTATTTTTCAATCTTTCTTAGTTCTTCTAATTTAAGATAGAATTTTTAGTCCCTATATTTATAATTTTATAATATTTTTTGTAACAGCCCAATTTTCAATGGGCCGTAGGCCCGATTCGTTGTCCAGAACGGGCCGTTTCAAAAGTGAAACGGGCCGTTCTGGAATAAGTTAAAGGCCCAAAATTTGAGAATCAGAACGGGCCGTTCTGGAGGGAGAACGGGCCGTTCCGGTTTGGAGAACGGGCCGTTCCAGAGGGAGAATGGGCCGTTCTGGTTTGGAGAACGGGTCGTTCCAGAGGGAGAATGGGCCGTTCTGCTGGGATTGGGAACGGGCCGTTCTGGTTTTGGAACGGGCCGTTCCAGTTCAAAAATTTGCGTAGGTTTGAAGGGCCCAGAACGGGCCGTTCCGATTTTGGAACGGGCCGTAGTGGTAGGTGGGCGAAAAATCCTATAAATAGGCCTCAAATCCTCTCATTTCTACACACCTCTCATTCTCACTCTCTCTTCTCTTCTGTTCTCTCTTTCGTTCCTTTTCTTCTCTCTGAAGACCAAGAGGAACTCAGAGGATGAGGTTCTATCCCAGATTTAGTTCCGATCCTTGTTTAAGGAAAAAGAGGAGGAGGTTCTGCCCGAGTTCCTATTTATCCAGGTACGGGGGAAAAGGAGATTATTTATATGTAGAGTTACATGAGG